AACCACTGGAGATGTAAAAACTTCAAACTTAAGGATAGTGTGTATCACTATAGGAAAACAATCTGATTACATTTTGGAGCACGTAGGTCAAAGGTCAAGGGTCATAGAGGTCAACTTATGAAATTCCATACATTGAGATTGTTATCATGATATCTCAAGAACCACTGGAGATTTAAACTTCAAACTTAATGATAGTGTGTATCACCATAGGAAGACAATCTGATTAGATTTTGGAGCACGTAGGTCAAAGGTCAAGGGTCACAGAGGTCAACTTATGAAATTCTATACATTGAGATCGTTATCGCGATATCTCAAGAACCACTGGAGAATTTTCACTTCAAACTTAATGATAGTATGTATCACCATATCATAATATCTCAAGAACCACTGGAGATTTAAACTTCAAACTTAATGATAGTGTGTATCACCATAGGAAGACAATCTGATTAGATTTTGGAGCACGTAGGTCAAAGGTCAAGGGTCACAGAGGTCAACTTATGAAATTCCATACATTGAGATTGTTATCATGATATCTCAAGAACCACTGGAGGTTTAAACTCCAAACTTGTTTAAATTGCTCTATGGCGGAGGCATCATTTTCGACTGCGCGCAGTCAAAATTCCATCTAGTTTTTTTTTTGCATGATGGCTCAGTGGTTAGAGCGCCCGCCTCATGAACCCCGGCCGAGTCATACCAAAGACTTATAACAATGGGACCTTCTGCCTTCTAGCTAGGCACTCAGCATGTTAGATTGGAGAAGGGTAGTAATAACATATTATGTCATGCAGGGCCCGCTGGAAGAGTAGTTTTATAACTGAAGTGGCTACCCTGGGTAAATAAAACGTTATTATTTTTGTTAAAGTTAAAAGTATACAAGTTAATATTCTACTGGCTTCTAGCAGACAATGATTCCTTATAATATATGATAATTAGCAAAAATTGAGTTTAAAATAAACTTAACTGATAACTAACTTAATCTCCATAATTTTTGCCTAGTATTATTTCCTGGGAAATCATTTAAATGGATCTATTTAGGACATGAAATCAATAAGTTATCTCTTATATTTAAAAAAAAGCTGAGATAAGCACTATCAATCACTCTCTTTGTATCATATTTCAGGATGTACACTTTATGACGATAGTCGATTGACATACGGTAGTTGATTGATATGCTGAAATGTCATTATATGCAGAATTTAGAAACACATACACCATACCCACCTACCCGCATTAAGTTAGACATCACACAAGCATATATACGAGGCCGCTCAGGGTTAACATATATATATATGGGGGGGGGGTGTTTCACAAAGATCCCAAGTTGAACTTATCTCTCAGTTGGACTTACTAGTTATGGAAAGCCGTCAGCATCTTTGAAAATATTTTGTAAAAGTTATTTTAACAGGCATAAAATGTTGATTCAAATCATTCATATTTGCTATTATCATGGGAGATTTCATGTTCTTGATGAGGAATTTATGAAAATTCAAAAATACTTTTAATTTTTGCTTTAGAATATATTGCATTTTAAGGCTACAAATGGCTCTCCATAATATTTAAGTCCAAGTTAGAGTTAGGTTTGACTTACGATCTTTGTGAAACACCCCCCTGAAGATACTATTGCAAAGTCATGACACTTTGTTCAAGCTAACTTTATGATGCGTTTGATAGCTTCTTATCAAGATGTTATATGGAAACCCTTGACCTAAGGTAAGATAATCTATTGGCAATGACTTTATTGGCATATATTTAGGAGCCATAAAGTATACCTTAAAGGCAAAGGAGAAGTGAAAATGGACTTTGGGGTTATTTCATATCATTTAAATGGGATTGCCTGGCCTATTTAGCAATGACATTTGTATGGTTTGTTGTCTATGTCTTTGCTGTCATTCTCAACCTTTCATTTTTTGTTTGTTCAGATGTTTGTGTGCATGTTCTTTTAATATGTAATAAAATAAGGAAATATTTGAGAAGGAAGAGTAAGTACACCCCCCCCCCAATAAATAAAAGTGTGTGCGTGTGAGCATTGTTCCAACCTTCACGTACAAGAAGATATTGTTCATTATTTTTTTGCTCAATATGTGGCAATTAAATGATAAGTAATTGTAACTGATAATTCATCTCTAATATTTATTCTCAGTCATAAGCATGATAAGAAAGAGATGGAAAATTTAAAATGGCAAGATGACAAAATATGAAAGAAAGTACATGTAGACAGCGCTGGAATATGTGTTCAATATTGACTCTAATTCAGGAAAATTTGTAATTTGAAGGGTGAAAGCAGGGTACAAGGGATTAGAGTGGGGGAAGGGAGGGTGATGGAGGGGGAGACTGATATTCCTTACAAATTCTCAAAGTTTTCAAACTTGACCCTCCTTGGAACAATTTCTGGTTGTCATTAAACTTGTTTGCAATAACACGTTGCAGTGATTGTTATAAGCAATCATAATCATAGTGGTTGATTGGCTGTAAGAAAAAAAATGTGTTACAGAATTGGGATAGTTTTTATCGATAACATGTTTTATGAAATAGAGTCCTGGCCCCATATTCATCAAACCTTACTAGTTGTCAAGTAACTGTGTACTATAGCCTCTGTAAGTAGTTGGCAACTAGTTCATGAATATGGGCTTTGGTGTAGAGTTGTGAACCTTATGATCATAGTATTATCAGGACCAACACAAAGATACAAAATGAGAAGGAAAAAAAAGAAAGATCAAAGGACAGTATTTGACAGCTGACACAATTTGACATGACTTACTACCTCAAAAGTTACAGTCTTTATAAAGGGGATGCAGGATTGCAGGGACAGTTTTTAACAGCTGATACAATTTGACATAACTTACTACCTCAAAAGTTACAGTCTTTGTTAAGGATGCAAGGACAGTATTTAACAGCTGAGATTATTTGCAACAACTCACTTTCTGATAATTGGGGACATCCCCTTTTCATCATACAACCTGAAGGCCAATAGCCATCGGTCCTAGCGCAGCGTTATCATGACAGTTCTTTTCCGGGGATGCTAAACATGATGACATGGGCCGGTGGGGGGGGGGGGGGGGTTTCTTGTGCCCCTTATTTATCCTCTCTTTAGACAGAGAGGGACAGAGTCAACCCCCTCAGTTACAACTCTTGAGGCACTAAAAACAGGGGATAGTGAGAAGGGGGCAAGTGGGATTAATGTTTCCTACTGTGCCCCTTCCCCTGTCAGTCATTTTCAATGTCCTTTGATTAAAATTTATAAGAGTAGTTTAAAAGAGAAAGAGATTTGTTTTTATAAAAATACTCTCTTTACTCCGTGGGGTTCATTTGTCCTCTTCAGCTTTGCAGATTCTTGCAGACGGTGATCTAAAATTGTGTTAATTGCTGCATGAGGCAGTGTGCATGTCTAGTTATGCAGAAGGTTTCACAAAGGTTTTGAAAAAGAAAAAAAAACATATTTAGTTTATTATGAATATTGTGTGCTTTTCTATTTCTAGAAATGTTGAAACTTATTTCAAGTGATTTTTCTTTTGGCAGAAACATTCCCCTGTTGATTAATTTCGCGGTTAGCGCTGCCAAGAAACGTTTGGGACTGATTTTTTTTTTTTTGTCATTTCATTTTAGGCATTGCGTTGTAGCTCAAAATAGCGAGACATTTCGCCAAAAGGAAACTCTGTGACGCGAGCATCGATTCGGCTCCCCCTGTGCCTTGACTCATGGCAGGAAGGTTCATGCACGTACCCATACTGCTTGTCACATGGGGGATAAAAAGTAGGGGGAGGGGGGAAGTGCTCAAAGTCCTGACACTAAAAGTTTGTTCCCCTTAATACTTTCACGTGACTCTGGCAGCGGGACGTTTATAAGGCTGTGACTAAAAAGTTAGTGATTCATTCAAGCCTTTTACTCACTCTTTGGTGCAGCTAGGCAGTTTTGAGTTGTTACTCCATATCATTGAGAATTTGTGATTTACCATAAACTGTATATTCAAGAACTTATCGACGAGGGAATTTCACCTAAGTTCTTCATCATATTTATAAAATCAGCTTTTGTTGGATCTTCTGCCTTTTGTGAAGACTATTGTCAATGGACTATAAAGCGTTCGGGTCATTTGGTCCTCTGGGAATTCAAAATATTATCATCTATTGTATTTTCCAGCGAACTGGGGGTAAAATTATCCACCTATAACCAGCGTCCATCGGTGCGTGACTTCACAACAAAGCAAATTTTCATTTTTAACCCGCTGTATTTTTGGCTCATTCTTTGTAAGGGCCGATGAGTATACACCAGTGAGGTCTGCGTTGCAGCTGCTGAATTGCATTAACCATTATTTTAAAAGTTGGCGGTGTATCGCCATAGTAATTGGGCAGCAGAGCACTTTGGGCTTATTTCCCCAAAAGACACAAAAGCGACTGGAGTACAGTTGTTACGGGACTACATTACAGTGATATGATTGTTAATTGTGCAACTTGGCATATTGGCAATAGTGTGGATTGCCTGAGCCAAGTTTATGTTTTGATACATGACTGAACTTTTTTATAGTGCCATTTTCAAGAAGAGCTAGCCTTTAACATTTAAAAAGAAAGTCCTCCAATCGTTCTGTGTACAAACAAACTACCATAAAAGGTGTCAATTTGAATTGGGATGGACATTAGCGAGGATTAGCGAATAAAGTGACTTCTTTTTCAGTTGAGGATTTGATGTGAGAACAAAAGTTGTAGTGCATTGAACCTGAAGTTCAAAAAAATCTTGTGTTGATGAGGATGTAAAGAACATTCTTGGCTGCATTCTTTGTGGAATCTACCAGCAGGTGAAGACATTCCATTCATTCCTTCATGACTGTTACATGCAAATGAGCACCTCTCCAAGGACATAGTCAACAGGTGTTATATGTCTGTCAGTCAGTCTGCATTGCTCACACACAGACAGGCAGTCACACTTATTCATCAGGAGCGGAAATCAAATAGAAATTTGTATTCTTCTGGGGAACCACTTCCTACGCATATAACCCTGCTTTGATTGACCTTTTACCCCCCCTAATAGTTAGGACTGGAATTGCTACTTCCATGTTTAGGGATAAATTGACTTTTTTTCAAGAGTAGTGAGTGAGAACCCACTTGTATGAACTTTGCTCTTTAGTAATTTGGGGGGAGTACTGTGGGGAGCTCTGTCTGTATGTTGTTAGCTGTGTTTGTACTCTGCTTAGAGCCTGCGTTCTGATTGGTTGAAACTAGTAGCTTGTGGTAATCTGAAACCAGTGTTTTCTTGAACTAGCTGGTGGTTTTCAGGCGCACATACATAGCGTATATATACACACAGCAATCTTTTGTGTACACTGTGACCCTCCTGCTCCCTGCTCTTTGCTCCATAAAGTTTATCTGTGAGTCAAGCGCAGGGTAGTTGATAGTGCACTCACAGACATGAGTGGTACTGGTAAAGACTGGAAAGAGAGAGAAGCAAATGGTGATTTAGCAGGCAGTGGTACGGCCAGCCTTTCCGATTCTCTCGATGGCGTTGTTCCCCATCCCAACATGAAAGGCCCGATTAAGCGCAGACATTCTGTGCACAACTTTGCGCGTCAACTGAGTTTGCGAAGGAAGCAGAAACTTCAGAGACTTGTGAGCAAGAATGGAGAATGCAATGTGGTTTACACTCATGTGCCTTCAAGGTGGTCTGACTTCTTCACTGATATGTTCACAACACTCATTGATTTGAAATGGAGGTGGCTACTCATAATATTCTCGCTGGCATACGTGCTGGGATGGATGGGTTTTACGTTCGTTTGGTACGCGCTGATCTGGTATCATGGGGATCTTGGTTACCAGGACAAAATGGCAGACAATGTCACAGAATACGAAGACTGGGAACCATGTGTTTATAACGTGCAAAACTTCATTGGTGCTTTCCTGTTCTCCGTGGAAACGCAGACGACGATCGGTTATGGTTATCGCGGAACGAGTGAAGCATGTTGGGCAGGAGGGGCCATCGTCGTGATCCAGTCTGTCTTTAGTTGCCTGGTGGATGCCGTCTTCATCGGTATGGTCTTCGCAAAAATTGCACGACCGAAGAAACGTGCCGCAACAATTAAGTTTAGCCACAATGCAGTCATCGCCGAGCGAGACGGCAAGTTGTGCTTGATGTTCAGAATAGGAGATATTCGCCGGTCGCATATTTACGAAGCTCATATCAGGGGGCAACTCATCGGACCTAAAGTTACAGACGAGGGCGAGTGCATCCCTCTTCATACGTACAACATGGATTTCAGTAACAATACCGGGGAGGATAGAATCTTTCTGGTGTGGCCTATCGTTATTTGCCATGTGATAGATGAAAAGAGTCCCCTGTACAGCATCTCAGCTGCTGATCTCCTGGAAAACAACTTTGAGGTGATCGTATGCATGGAGGGTGTTTTAGAACAAACCGGTCTTGTCATGCAAGCCAGAACATCATACTTGCCTTCCGAGATCCTATGGGGACAACGCTTCAGTAGCAACCTCATCAGCATCAACAACAACGAACAATTCAAAGTGGACTACACCGACTTCAACTCCACCTATGCTGTCCAGAGCATGCCTAGCTGCAGTGCGGCAGACTTAGAGCGCATGAGGTCAGCAGACACGGACTTATTGAACAATTCCAAAGTGAAGTCGTCGCCTTCGTCTGTTAAGTCTTCCCCCAAGAAAAGTGTCTTCCGATACAGCTTGCCTAAATCACCAAATAGTGCCTTCAACGGAAACGGAAGCATCCGATTTGCGGATGACCTGGAAAACGGAGAGAAAAACGGAGAGAAAATGCACATGTCCAATTCTAAGGCCAGTATGGCTTCTGTGGAGTCGATGACCAATGGCAATGGACATGTTACAAATGGAAACGGGATGAAGAGATCGCCTTCTAGAGAGTCTCCAGTATAGGTGAGATTTGTTCCCATGATCTATAGTGTTTATTTATCTTTATAGCATCGACAAAGGTATTTTATGTTTGGTTGAATTCTGCTTCCAAAGTCATCTATGCTGCCAAAAACTTCTGTTTTAGACGGGTGTTTTTCACTTGTTCTATAATATAAAAGTTTTTATGTGTGACATTGAGATAAAGTCCTTTAAATTGCAAAAGAGGCAAGCTTATCAATTCATAAAAAAGACCCAAAAGAGGGCAAGACACAGAGGTTATAATATCCATGCTTAGAACTTATGTTCTAAAACAGCTTGTACCGGACAACATCAAGTAATGTTATGAATTTATTTCAAGTTACAAATTAGTTAATTAACTAAAGTGAATGCTATTTATTTTCATGGAATCAAACAAAATAGACATCCTACAGGCATTTAGAAAGAAATAGAGGGAGGAGAGAGAGAGAGAGAGAGAGAGAAATAGAGGGAAGAGAGAGAGAGAGAGAGAGGGTTTATTATGTCATTTGCCGCATGAAAGAGTACTGTAAACTACATGATAGTAAACTGTATGATAGTGATAATATGGAAGGAAAGGAATAAAACAGACAAAATGCTATGATTTAGCTTCTCATTTATTCATTTCATAATCATATTCAGGTTTTTCATATTCAGCATATTTTTTTTAATGCTGAATTATATTCCTTAATCATGCAGCAACCTGCGTGTCTTATATCAAAAATATTTTAGGAAATCATTTTTCCATTCACAACCTACCGATGTGCAAATTGCTTGTGCATTGTTTGAGTATACATATTCATGAAAATAGTGTAATTCAGAAAATTTAAGAGAATATTTAATGCACTCTATACACTACCAGTAATTTTTCACTTCCCAGCAGATCTGATCTGTGCTAGGTTATCAGTTGGAATGGGGTTCCAACGTTAAAAGAGCTCATTTTATTTCTGATTTCATTTCAGCCTTGACTTTATTTCAGCCTTGACTTTATACTCGTATATATTCCTTTATGTGTTCAGTTCTATTTCTCATGATCTGAATATTGTGAAGAGGGAATCACAAATAAGAAATATTTTCCTATTTTCATGAATCATGGTATAAACATTGAGCTTTTTAAGGTTTTATGTCCATTTCAGTATTCAGTTTCTAGTGATCTTTTCTCTGTCTCACCAGGAATTATCAAGTAGGCCTATATAATGCATGTATTTTACATTCAAATGGTAGAAAAGATATTTTTCTTTCTTGAAAACACTATTTGAGATAAGAACACATCTGATAAAGATGTTCATTCTGGTATCTGGAATGCCTTCATACTGTCAAACCTGCTTTAGTTTAGGGACCACCTGTATAGAAAGACCACCTCTATAAAGACTGCATTTATTGTTTCCTTTGGAATGTGTTTCGTCCCATTGAAACATGTACTAAAGGAATCTGTACATAAAGACCATCTGCTCATAAAGACCACTTTTTTGTATCCCTTGACTTGAGTATAATAGTCTTGAAAAACTCTTATGCAGGTTTCACTGAATTAGAAACCAAAGACCAAAAATGTTGTTTAGTGTAAGTGTATCTCTGTTCAATCCTAAATTGCTTTGAAATCTAATAGCTTGTATTTTCAGTTATCTAGCCAGAAGGGATCGGATTATGTACTTCAATGTTTAATCTGATATACAGACGTGTCAATCTTCATAAATGACCAGTACAAATTGGCTCTAGTATCTTCAAGGGGTTTCAATGATCGGGGTGTTATATCATGGTTATATCGAATGAGCTTCTAAGGTTTCCGGACACCTGACTTTAGATTTTAGCCTTTTAGGACATTCATTACAGTATAAATAGCAAGTCCATTTATATCATGCACTTATCTAACCCAGGGGATGTATTTAAGACATCCTCTCATTCAAGGAGTATTTTCCTATTAAGTTTGTACCCATTTGATGCACCTGGGTGGAGAGTGGCAAATATAGATTGATATCGAGCAAAGGATATTAGTGCCGTGGCAGGAATCGAATCGTGAACCATGTGATCCATAGTCTGGTGACATATTTGCTAGACAGCAACAACTTCTTGAAGCAATTTTTACATTTCAGTGGGAATGATGAATCCTGATTCAGCTTTTTAGAGTACCGGTAAGCAAAAAAAAAAAAAAAAGGTCCAATTTCACATAAAGTATCATTCTCTCAAAGAAATGCTGTGTGATAATTTAGTGATATTTTCACCAAATACTTATACTATTCATAATACATTCAGAAAAGAAAGAAATACATAATTGGCCTAACAAATTAATACAGAATTGACGCCATGGTCCTTTAATAGTCCTTTAGAAAATTCGTCGCTGTTTTCACGAAGTGACGGTAGTGAAAAAAAATTGCATTCACTTTGCGTTACGATTTTCCTCACTACCGTCACTTCGTGAAAACAAGGACGAATTGATCTTTCCATTATTTTTTTTAAATTGATAATCTTTGTTTTTTATAGGTCATTCCTTCAGCTGTCAAGATATCTATAAGTTTTTAATAAATATTTACGTAAGTAACGAAACACATTTCAACTTCTTTCCTCAATATTTGAGATATGAAATTTTGGGCTACTTTTGATAAGGCTATCTATTGATTAGTGTGTAGACTCCACACTAATTTGACAGGTGGTATGCATACAAATATACATATGGTCTGTCTGTATGCTTTGGGGCTAACACTTTGAAAAGTTTCAGGGAAAAATTAATATTTATTTTTCGGGGGCTACTTTTCAACCTTGCCTGCATGAAAATAACATTCTAAAATTGGTTTTGCGTTGAACTCTATGCAAATTTAAGGGGGCTCTTTTCTGATTTTCGGGGGCTCTTTTGGGCATTTTGGGGGCTATTTCGCCCTGAGCCCCCGTGTATTTTTTTCACTGAAAAGTTTATGGCTCACAAGTAATGATTGTTAGGCCCTTGTGCACTGGGTCCTTGTTCAAGCTAAGTTATGTTATCGCTGTCATTGTCAGATAGTTGGTAATCATCTTGATTTTTTATTTAGGTCTTCATCATCTGCTTGATTAATTTAATATTTATTTGGTCTTATGATCTTACCTTCCCAGAATCAACAATATAACTACCTCTTCTTTGGTCAGAATTTGTCCTGCTTCTTCCTTATTTCCACTTTTCCCTTTTCCTTCTTCTTTTGTCCGTTTTACTTCTCCTTGTCGTTTCGTGGCTATTTATTGTTTTGTAATATTTTCTTGTATTTTCCAAGTATTTGTAGGCAAAATTTGAAACAATTATATTTTTTTCTGGGGGATCCACAAACTACCACAAGTACTGCTTTTAAAGGAATCCCCCCCCCCCCCCATTTCCTCAGAAATTAAGAATTTCTTGTAATCATTTTATTATGTGCAAAGTTTATTTGTATAGTTACCATGAAAAAGTGAATTATGTATGAAAAAAATGTAATACCTTTGGCTTTGTTATCTTTCTGTTGGAAATGAAATAGACATGAATTGAATTTAATTGAATAGTTAGCATTTACTCTTAACGTTTCAGTTGCAGTTTGCGGAATCAGTGAAAAGATTCATATTCACTTGAGTCTTTTGTGTCAAATCCTGATGGTGAGGGTAGCATTCATGTCTGTTTGCTTGCTAAGTCATGTGTCAAAAGAGATCTGAGAATAATCCCTCCCCTTTTTTTTGTTTAAATGTTTGGGGACATCATGTACATGTACTTGATGTTCTTGCAAAGCTAGTTGAACTTCTGAAAAAGCTTTTGTGCAAATTGCATGGAGGAGTAAGCCATACCTTAGTCATGGTGGTTGGTGGAGAAAAGAAAAAATGACAAAAATTATGAGAGCTTTTTACTAATCCCGAAAAGAGATTAAATTCCAAGCACAGTTTGGGAAATTCTTTGATCACCCTTCCCCCCTTGTATGCCTTTTGTAATTTTCAAAATAAAGTGACTGGTTTTGAAAGTAAACTGCAGTAAAATATTGTTTTTTGAACATTCTACAAGTTGTTCTGGAAGTGAGTTTTCATTTTCTAGAGTTTTGGATATTTCATGGCTACAACTGTATATCTCCCACCCCCCCCCCCCCTTCCTGCCTTTTTTGTTCTTTTTTTTTTTTTTTTACATTTAAGCAACCTCAAGGTTTAAAGTAAACTATTTTTTTCACTACTTTAGCATTTTGGCTTCAACTTAAATATGTTGACTGATTCAAAATATACTGGTACATGTATGTACTGAGAGTGTAAATTTCTGAGATTTGTATGAAGGTAGTTTGTTTCCTGGTTGTTGCTCTTGGTTTCTGTTATATACATCATCCTGTCGTATATAAACTGCATAAGGGATCAAGTGATTAATAATAACATGCTATATTCCAAAGCAGATCCTTAACTTAATGACCTACTGAAAGTGGTGAGAATTATAATTTAGAGTTTAATACGGTAAGGCAATAAATAACTTAAAGGTAAAGACCAGTATTGGAAACGCCCCAGTTTCAAAAAATGAAATGGAAGCTCTCATTACCAATCATGTGAAAGAATATGTTTTGAATAATACATGATAAAAAATATGCCGGGAAACCGCCTACTAATTCATATATTTGGTAAATTTGTTTCTCTCATGGTCTGTGAGAGATATAGGGTAGTCCCATATACATCTTTCTGTGTATAGTGCTTGTAACTTTACGAAGAATGGGCCAAATTTCTTATCATTTTGATGATTCCAGAACCTTGCAGATGCTAGATGCTAGATGATCAACCTTTTCTGATCGATTCCACAACGTTTCTTTCACAATGCAATCGCATGACCATAACTGGTCTTTACCTTTAACGGCCCTTTCATTCTCTCATTTCCATAGGCTTAATACAGAAACCATTCGGTTCCTGTATGTAATGGGTTCAAATAGAGAAAGGATAAGTTGTATTAATTTTAAATGTTACTTCAAATTTTTCTGAATATTGTGAAAAGCTTGTCGCAGTGGGAAAACAGAAATGCACTGTAAGCAGTTTCTTTTGTTAGTTATGTACCTTTCCCT